TTGCCGATGATCGGATCGACGACGAACGGGTACTGCCCGGGGTTTGGGACATAGTTGGGGTGATCTTCCTGATCGAAGGTGATCACCTCCCGAGACCAGTTAAGGTACTAGGGAGTGGCTACCTCAACCGAGAAGACCTCCCGGCGTTCCCTCTTCCGTTGACACGCCGTGAGGCACACTGAGGGCCCGCCGAAGATCATGAAGGCATTGTGCACCTCGGGGAACCTGTCGTCCTTGTCGTTGTCTCCATCGCCGGCGCCCTTCTTCCTGGCATCATCGTTGGGGAGCCCGAGCTTGGCGTAGTAATGTCGGAGCATGGTGCATTCTTCGAGGGTATGCTTTACCGGGCCCTGGTGGTAAGGGCAGGGCTTCTTGAGCATATCGTCGAATAGTCCGGGGGCCCTGGGGGCCTCGAGGGTTCTTGTTATCTATGGCTGTGACTAGATCGGCCTCGAGGGCCTCTTGCTTCCCCTGGCGCCCCTTTTTCTTTTTCTTGGAGAAACGGGAGGCCGAGGCCCCGAGGGCCTCGCCCGTCTGCTTCCCCTTTGCGTCGTCATCGGGGAAGATGGCCCCAACAGCCTCTTCGCCCGAGGTGAAGTTGGTGGCTATGTCAAGGAGCGCGGCCGCCGAGGTCGGTATATTTTGGCCTAACTCTCGGACCAGGTCTCGGCAGGAGGTGCCGGAGAGGAAAGCCTGGACAACTTTCAAGTCACCGACACTGGGCAACTCGGTGCACTACTTGGAGAAGCGTCGGATGAAGTCTCGGAGAGACTCGTCTGGCTTCTGGCGACAACTCTTGAGGTCCCAGGAGTTCCCAGGGCACACGTATGTGCCCTGGAAATTGCCGACGAAGATCTTTACCAAGTCGCGCCAGTTGTGGATCTGCAAGGGAGGGAGGTGCTCGAGCCAGGCTCGCGCCGAGTCTGACAGGAACAACGAAAGGTTGTGGATGATGAGCAGGTCATCGTCCACACCACCCAGCTGACAAGCCAGGCGGTAGTCGGCCAGCCAAAGCTCGGGGTTGGTCTCGCCACTGTACTTTGTGAGGTTCGCTGGTTGCCGAAACCGGGCTGGGAAGTGGGCGCTGCGAATGGCCCTGCTAAAGACTCAAGGGCCAGGTGGCCCAGGAGAAGGACTGCAGTCCTCGCCATTGTCGTAGTGGCCGCCTCGGTGCGGGTGGTAGCCTTGGGCGGGCCCGTCGTTGTCGTGGTGTCGTCGTCTGCTGGCCACATCGTGGTCGCCTCACGCCTCGCGCCAGCCGCCGAGTCGGTCGTGCACCGAGGGGGCCCTGTTGGCTGTCGGCGTCCGAGAGGGCTCGGGACGAACTGAGGCCTCTCTATCCTACCGAGGCGATGCCGCGAGTAGTTCCGAAGCACCGCCGCGATGTCTAGAAGCGGAGCTTTCAGCCTGCTGTACCACGACAGTTTCGAGGAGATCTCGGAGCTCGCCGCGGACCCGTCGCCCCTTCGTGGTAGAGGGCTCGGGCATCGCTCGGACTAGCATCGCTACTGCAGCGACGTTCTGGCTAGCGTGATTGAAGATTGGGGGTTGCTCACCCCCTTCGTCGTTGTTGATGCGGTGGTGGACGTCGCGGGCCCTCCGCCGGGCTCCTCTGCCCTCACCGTGACCTCGCTGCTCCTGCTCGAGAGTGTCTCAGAGCTGCTGTAGCAGGAGTCGGTCTTGGTCGACTTTTGCCTGAAGCTCACGGAGCTGCTCCAGGTCTAGGCGTCAAAGTTCCTCGGGGGCGACGTTCTCATTCCGCGCTGCCCGAGGCTTGACGAGCAGAGGTGTGGCGTCGCCTGCCCCTTGGCGGAGCGGGGAGCAGTTGTCTGCCCCTTCACTCTCATTACTTGCCCCTGGCATCCCGAGCCCGATGTGGAAGCACTCTCGAGTGGGATCGTAAGTGCCTTCATCATCGGAGTCAGAGTAGCCAAAGCAGTAGTCGCTCGGGGCCAAGAAGAGGCGCATAGCTTGGGGGTCACGAAGTCCGGAGAAGTCTGCTCCGGCCCACGCCTCATCCTCCTCCGAGGAGTCGGTGTGGGTGTGAGTCGAGGTTGTGGCGAAGAGGTCAAGGGCAAAACGTTGGTGGCATCCTGAGGGCTCTGTGTGAGCGGAAGCGTAGGCGGAAGCGAAGGTGGCAGCGGCATTTCTCAACCCGAAGGGGTATGGGGATGGTGCCATCGTTGGGCCCTGCTCCGTCGGAGTTGGCTCCTCAGGCGGTGGCGGTGCGGAACTTGATGACGGTGCGTCGCTTCATGTCACTGGTATCTTTCCCCTGCCCAGGCTTAACCTAGACAGGTCCCCAACCAGGGACTCTATACCAATAGTTGAGCATGGGATACCGACGGAGCGCGGCGCGTCGCCCTGAGCTCGTACGGTGTCGGGGTGGTCCCGCTCGAGTCGCGCCTGGCGAGTGCGACAAGAGCGATGGCCCGGGCGCCGCCTGCGCCTGGGCTGTGGGTGTGCGATGTCATCGTCAGCCAAAGGGGCTCTGGGTGGGAGGAGTACTAGGTCGTATTCACGTCCTAGAGACATGAACTCTAGGCTCCCAAACCAGATCACCGTGCTGAGACGTAGTGGGCGTATGGGGTCGGCCATCCGGAACTTGTTGGGACGATCAAGCTAACACGCAGTAGTTCCCCTACCTGGCACGCCAACTGCCGGTGTTTTGGATCGAGGGGTCCTCAACCAACTAGTGAATTTGAACTGCGTGCCCCTAATCCCGGATGGTGATGCAAAGAGACATAAGGTTTATACTGGTTCAGGCAATCGGTGCCCTACGTCTAGTCTGAGAGATCGATCTTGTATTCCTTGCACCAAAGTGCTTGTAGTAGGGGGTTACAAGCTGGGCGAGAGAGGGAGCTAGTCCTAGGTCCCTGCGTGGAGCAGTGTGGGCTGCTTGAGACGTTGCTCTCAGGCAGCGGGGGAGCGTGTGTCTGAATCTATGTGAGCCTACGCGAGTGTTCATCTATCTTCCTGTGTCTAGAAACGGCCCCGGTCTCTCCTTTTATAGTTGAAGGGGGGATACATGTGTTTGCTATGCAGCGTCTTGTGAGTGGAGGTGGCGTCCTGTGGCGACATGGTCAACGGAGCGGCCTTGTCCTTGATGCACTGGAGCAACGCGCCGGTCACACCCGATCCTGTGCGACGTGGGAGCTCCAGTGATAGCTTGGCGCAGGGCATGGCCGACGACGTGCCGGTCGCTGTGCGTTGACAGGGTAAAGAGCCGAGGCTCAGTTGGTGTTGAGGTCGAGCCATCGTGGGGGGCTCGGCGGGCGCGAATCCCGAGGCTGCTGAGGCCCTGAAGTGGATTGCCGAGGCTTGGAGGGAGCAGTTGGTCCTATATACTGATTCCGAGGCTATAGTGACCCAGACTTGACTCCCCACACTGCGTTGTTCCTAAAGCAGGAATTAGGTAGCACAGTGCAGTACGGGCTCCATTTATGGGAGCAGTGCTGAGCACAGTGGCCGGTAACCCCTGCTCAGTCCTATCTCCCGTCCTGTCGGCCACTCTGTTGTACTGCGTCGACGTGCGGCTGACGTTGCGGGACTGGTTGACCACGTTAATTGGACGTGACGTTTTGTCAGAGAAGTCGGTCGAGACGGAGGCAACGAGGTCGTTGCTGAGCCGGCCTCGAGCGAGTCAGAGAATTGGCACCTCATCTGAGGCTTTATGCGCGGGGCCTCGGTGAAAGCTCTAGTTTGGTTTTGGTGAATTGATGAAACCCTAAGTGCTAACCTAGTTTATCAAGTGATCATGAGATAGGTAGCACACTCCAAGTGGTGAAGCAAATGAAGATTATAGCATGATAAAGATGATGGCATGGTGATGATCAAGTGCTTCGACTTAGAAAGAAGAAAGAGAAAAACAAAAAGCTCAAGGCAAAGGTATAATTTGTAGGAGCTATTTTGTTTTGGTGATCGAGACAATCCTTTTGGGCCGAAGCTATCAACATGGCTTGCTATTGTAGCAACCGCCTCTATTGTCACCGATTAAAAGAGAAGACACCATATGAGCTCTTGAATGGTAGAAAGCCCAACATTGCATATTTTCAGGTCTGTGGTTGCAAATGCTATATCTTGAAGAAAGGCACTAGATTGGGCAAGTTTGACAAGAAATGTGATGAAGGATTCCTACTTGGTTATTCCACTACAAGCAAAGCATATAGAGTTTGGAATTTGGATAGTGGTCCTCTTGAGGAAGTTCATGATGTTGAATTTGATGAAACCAAGGGTTCACAAGTAGAGAATGAGAACTTGGAAGATGTTAGAGGCATTCAACTTTCAAATGCCATGAAGAACATGAATGTTGGTGAATTGAGGCCTAGGCAAGTGAATGATGATGAAGATGATTAAGTGCAAGTGCTCTCCAACTTAAATGTGCAAGATGATACAAATCAAGCTAGTACAAGTGGCTCTCATGAAAATGAACAAGATCACGTGGCTAGTACATCATCTCAACCAAATGATCAAGCAAGTGCAAGCAATCAAGTTCCAATCCTCCAACCAACCAATATTACAAGGGATCATCCATTGGACACTATCATTGGTGATATTTCAAGAGGTGTGCAAACAAGATCAAGATTAGCATTATTTTGTGAACACTTCTCATTTGTGTCATCCATTGAACCAAAGAAGATAGATGAAGCATTGAAGGATGTTGATTGGGTGAATGCTATGCATGAAGAATTGAATAACTTCACAAGAAATCAAGTATGGGAATTAGTAGAGAGACCAAAGGGACATAATGTGATTGGAACCAAATGGGTCTTTCGAAACAAGCAAGATCAAGATGGGATAGCAGTAAGGAACAAAGCAAGATTGGTAGCACAAGGCTATACACAAGTTGAAGGTCTTGACTTTGGAGAAACATATGCCCCGGTTGATAGATTGGAAGCAATTAGAATCTTGCTAGCCTATGCTTGTCTAGAGACCACAGCCAATTAATCCATATACTTTCAGTGAAGCACTTACTATCTATCTTTGAAGCACCCCCTATGCTAATGCCCACAACTAACCCTGCAAAGTGCAGGGTAGCATAATCCTGCACATTACAGGATTTAGCTTACCAAACAAAGGCATGAACCTCTCATTTCCTTTCCTCTATGCTCCTCTAAAAGATCACTGACAAGCATCCAGTCTGCATCCTTATCGTCATATGTAAGGACATAATCCTGGTCTTTGAGGGCATCCACCTTTGAGCCATTAGTCAGCCTGTCTTTCCTCGATGATTTATGCAGACCACTTTGACCGTTAAAATCACAGGCTAAGTAAATATCCTTGTGAAAAAAGGCATACTATGCAAAAACTGTTCAATGAATGGTGCAGTACTTGTGTAATTACAAGAGGGGAATGCATCAAACAGAAGCATAGAACTGAACACCACTCACCAGTGATGAAGCAGCTGAACATCTTCTCAAGCGCCATGGAGAGGTCTTTGTAGCCGGAGTACATCTTGATGTCCAACTTCCTGAGGTAGGGTGCGCCATCCATGCTCACCTTCACATACATGGGCCCGCCTCTGGACGCGGCCTCCTCCGCCGGCACCTTGCTCTTGGAGGCGCTTGCGGCGAGGGTGTTCTTCCGGTAGCTCCACATGGGGGGCCATCCCACCAACTGCGCTCTGCACAGATCGACAGAACAGCATCGGTCTGAACAGCATCGGTCAGCCCACCGGGCGTCCAGTTCCAGGCCAAAACAGTAACGCCTGCGACGAATCGAAGCGGGGTCTTACTTGGCGGCCAGCGGCGTGGAGGGGGGAAGCTTGCTTGTCGTCGCTAGCCTTGACAGCGCCGGGGCGCTGGGCGGGGTCTGGGAAGGCGCGCTTGGCAGAGATGCCAGCAGATGCGGCAGCCGGCAGCGGGCCGAGGGAGAGCGCGGCCGCGACGTCCTCGCAGCAGTCCCAGTTGCGGTCGGAGGACTCGGAGCCCGATAGGCCGAGGCGGAGTGTGAGACGGGGAACCGGCGAGGAGGAGGAAGAGGTTGGGGTCGGCGGCGCAGCCTTGCAGATCACCTCCGAGAACTTGGCGGCGATCTGGTTGCCGCACTGGCTGCCAGGATGTGCAGCCGCCGTGCCCTTCGCCCAAACCCTAGGCACGGGCGCTCCTGCGTGTGGGGGCGCTGCCGCCGTCTCCTGACCCGTCTCGCGTTGAGCTTTCGTTTTTTTCCGAAAAAAAGGGAAAAACAAGGTGGAGGTGGGAATCGAACCCAGAGCGCGAGCGTAGGTACGAAGTCGCACGGATGGTTCGCTGCGTGCGGGAGGATGAGGAGGTTGACACACTCAATTTGGACCGTTGGATGTGGGTGAGTAAGGAGAGAGAAGAAATTAGAAGCAATCTGGACAGTCCGTTTTAAAGATGTTGTTTTTCTGGGTATAATTTTGTGGGTGGATGGATGGGGGCATCTCAGCAGGGACATTTTTTTGTGTGGATTTAGCAAAGAAAAAAGTGGTGAATTAGTAGGGTATATATATATATATATATATATAGACACACACACTTTCTGGTACTAGAAGATGTTCATAATGGTTTGAGTGTTTGAGATTTAGCTTTCCCCTTCTATATATATATATATATATATATATATATATATATATATATATATATATATATATATATATATATATATATATATATATATATAAGCTCAAACTCCATTGCATGTTTCCCTTCGTACATATTGATATATATGCACCATGCATATGATAGTGAGATTATGAGTTTGATCGACATGTTCCTGGTTTTGTCCACCTTTTGCATATGCAGGCTAATTAAAGGTGCCTTCGTTGAGATGTGGCCAAGGTAAAAACCTGGCCTGAAGAAGTGGCAGCTCCCATATAGTATATGGGATCATATCGTCACAGCTTCCGTGATCGTTCTGATCCACGCCACCCCAAAGCACCCACCTGCTGACGCTTCCAGAGGTAGCGGCCATCGTCGTGTTCCTGTGTGCCGTCTGCTTCATTTTTGCCACCATGTTAAGCAGATTGTGTCAGCAAGATAGGTCTTGTTCATATGCATGTCTCATCACCTCGAGAGTGGAACGCGGTCAAGTCATGGTACCACGTTCCCCCGTGCTGTCAAGCGCGTGCCTGTCGTGTTTGCGTCTTTTGCGCTGCACAATGCTCGAACGGTTTCAGCAGTTACATTAATTCATATGCACGATTGAACAAAAGGACATGTAATAATAATTCCAGGATACGTTCGACTGTTGAACTCCAGTGCTCTCCTGGCTCTTCTAGTTTGGTTGTTGCTAAGTTTTGAGACATCGGTCGCTGTTACTGCAAGTACGGACACGTTTATCTGGTAATTCGATTCAATCAATGTACATTTTGAGACCGACGATGCCCTCCTCCCCATTTCAGCTCGTCAATTGCATCCGTCTCAGCTTTCCCAGCAAAAACAAGCTTAGGCTCTGCCGGGGTACGTACGGTGCTGCCCGTGCCCGGTAGAAGAAACGACATGGCATATTGGCATATATATACTAGACATTTTCTAGACAAAAAAATTATTTACATTTTCTCTACAAAAATTAAAAGCTGCTACCCTATTGGGAACCGAGTCCTTGTTCACAGCAGCTTACTGTGTATCCTAGCGGGTGGAGTGTTCAAATCGAAACAAATAAAATTCAGGGACCACTTGTTGTCCGATGACTAGATCCGCGTAGCTGAGTGGTGCAAAATTTCTAATTTCTCCAGCTAGCTTGCAGCCACACCACACCCGGCCCTCCCTCCTACGTACGGTGACTAAACTAGTTGCTAGTGCACACGTTCATATCTGAATCTATCATCAGCGTTACCTATAGCACGCATGCACCTACTAGCTCTACCATTCATCACCCATGACTGGGCATGACCCTGGCCGCGCGCGCCATGCTGCGCTAGCTACCTCCTCAGGTCAACTCGCCGGGTCGCCGCCGCGCGGCCGAGCTAAACATGCTCGCTCACCGAGTCACCGCCGCCGGCGCGCTGTATATCGTTCTCCCTCGCGACAGCCAAACATTCATGTACGTTGTTCTTCTCTATAATCTGTTTATGCCAACACTTTATTTGGAACTTGTCAACGAATCTGGTGGTATATATGTTCGTTGCACTTTATTTGTTTTTCACCGTTGCGGGTTCGCCCCTTGCTGTATCTTTTCTTCAAACGCGTACTAGAATTCATGAATCCAGGGGGTAGATCTATCTAGCACCGAGGAATAAGACACACTCTTACAATCTGTTTATGCCAGCACTAGCCTTTATTTGGAACTTGTCAACGAATCTTGTGGTATATATACGACATGGTGGTATATATATGTTCGTTGCACTTTATTTGTTTTTCACCTTCACGGGTTCGCCTTGCTGTCTCTTTTCTTCAAACGCGTACTAGAATCCATGAATCCAGGGGTAGATCTAGCACCGAGGAACGAAACGCTCTTACAAAAATTATTGTAGCTATGGAAGCTTAGAAGGATAGGCTAGAGACAGTGGCGGATCTAGGATTGGGACAAAGGAGGGGTTGAACAAAGAAGATTTAAGACTAAAGCTAAAAATTAAAGGTGAATTCACACTAAGCTACAACATTTAATGAAGAATTAAGGCAGCTTAGGGGGGCTGTAGCCCCGGCAGCCCCCCCTGTAGATCCGCCACTGGCTAAAGATAGAAGATGAATGGAACTAGGAGCTCCTCTTCGCCTTCGGATTTCTAGATCGGCGCCTGCTAGCACTACTGGATTCAGGTGGCACTCGGCAAAGGCCAAATTGCACTCGGCAAAGCATTTGCCGAGTGCGGCACTCGGCAAAGAACACACGTGAAAAAATTGATCGGCAAAGCCCTCTTTGCCGAGTGTCTTTTATCGGGCACTCGGCAAAGAAAAGTGACCGTCACGGTGCCGGCCCCGTTGACGGTCGCTTTGCCGAGTGCCAACCCTGCAGGCACTCAGCAAAGATTTTTTATTTTTTTTAAAAAATATCTTTGCTGAGTGTCCTCTATTCGGCCCTCGGCAAAGATGTTTTATTTTTTTTTCTAAAAAATCTTTGCCGAGTGCCCCCTGGCCGGAGCTCGGCAAAGTTTGATTTTTTTAAAAAAAAAAATTATTTGCCGAGTGCCCTCTGGCCGGCACTCGGCAAAGTTTGAATTTTTTTTTAAAAAAAAAAATTCTTTGCCGAGTGCTATGGTCATGGCACTCGGCAAATATGGAAAAATGGTTTTCCGAGCGCCCATTTTTCCAGCTTTGCCGAGTGTTGTGACCATGGCACTCAGCAACGGGGTCATTTGCCGAGTGCAGCACTCGGCAACAGGGTCCTTTGCCGAGTGCAACACTCGGCAAAGTGACCCAAAACGGCAAATTTTTTTTTTACATTCCATCATGATAAATAAATTCATACAAACATATATCACATATATATCTCATCCATCACATATATATCTCATCCATCCACACATCCATCCGCACATATCACATCCATCACAATATATATCACATATATAATAATAAGTGCTCAAGTCCATCCAAATAAATCCACAAGTCCATCAAAGTCCACAAGTGCATCACAAGTATATCACAAGTACATCACCAAGTGAACAACAAATGAAAAAAATACAACGTGCACTCATCTCGGCCACTGCAACTGTGGTAAAGGCCCAGCTCCATCATTCGGAGGTGCATGAGGTGGATTATTCGAACCACCGTCAGATGGAGACTGCACAAAGGAGAAAAGATTGCATGTGAGACAAGATTATTTGGATAGCTAATCTAGAAAGGTAGAGGCCATACAAGCAAAGCACAAGCGAAAGTAAAAAACTTTCATACTCACAGGAGTAGTTGCAGCTGCAGGATGCGGAGGCGGAGGTGGAACCAATAGCCCAGCTAGCAGAGAGAAGCCCACACATTGCCCAAGCCCTTGTAGGAACTCCGTAATGTCCGTCAGGCTCTACGCCTGGGCCTGCCGCTCGGCCCGCTCGGCCTCCAGCTGGGCCGCCATCCTCTGATGTCCGGCCTCCAGTTCCTGACGTTGCCTCATTTCTTGTTCCAGCCGGGCCTGCAATATTTCACTCCAGTGTTTCAGTAATGCAAAGCTAATTAAGGTGTGTAAAGATCAATGTATGACGAGTAAAATAGGAATAACCTCGAGTGCGTCGACCCGGTGCTGTGCAGCGGTCGGCCGTGTGCGAATGACCGGGCTCTCACTCGTGCTCCGTGCTCGGATCTGTGAGAGGGAGGGAGTAGAGGCCGTGTCGATGACGCCGTCGCCAAGCCAGAACTGCCCATGCTTCTTGCCTTGGGCCGCCCTCATGACGGCCTCTCCATCAAAGTCTTGGGTGCTCGGATCATGGTCTGACCCATGGAGCGACCTCGCCACCTCAGTGTACTCACTGATGCGGGAGTGGACGCTCGGGTTCGTGTATGCCTCGGGCGGGTCCTCCAGGTTGAAGGAGACGTCGGACGTCGCCTTGCCCTTGTGGGCCATACACCATGCCTAGAAGTTTGAGCAAGCCTGGCCACTATGTGACGCCGACTGTGAGAAACACAGCACGATAATTAGAAATCAGGCAGAACTGAGCGTCACAATAGATAAATGAATGCGCGTACCCATGCTTGTTTGTATCCGGTAAGGTTGAGGCTGCCTTGATGGTGTGCTGGACCTTGCATCTACAAACGACAGTCCCGGGCATCCCTGTGCATCTTGAGGTACTCCTCCGTGAACCACCTGTCCACCACCATCGCCCAGCACTCGAGATACGCTTGGCACCACTAGGGAATCATCTACACGTCATCAAGTATTGGACATATAAGAAGATCAAATTCAACCAACTTAATCTCAAAACGAATCAATATTGATGTTCTTCATTTACCTCAAGGTACTGCTCCCAGGTCAGCTGCATCTCTCTTGCGTCTTTCTTGGTTTTTCTCTCTCCAAGCTTCGACCCGTAGTAGGTTACGATGGCCTAGATGCGCACCTCGTGATGCATATCGGTGACAAGTTTTTTACAGGCTTTGGTAGTCACCTGCTCCGCCCTGGCCTCAAATCCCTCCTTGCATCTGTAATAAGTCTGCATACAAAAGCGATGTATCCATTCATTATTTCAAGAAAAGTCCAATGAATGCGACGTATTGAGCAATGTTGTGCGAGGGAGACTTACCCAAAACTCTGCCTTCACCCGCGTCGCCTTGTTGGGGTACTCCACATCATGGGCGATGGCGTAGTGGTCAAACAAGTAGGCCGGCTCCGTCTTCGATGCGTACGAGACAATGCCGGGGAAGTGTTGCCTGCACAGAAGACCCAGGATGCCATTGACTAGCCGTGCGCTACCACCCGACACAACCACCCAGTTCCTGCACAAGTGATTAAGAAAAAATATTAGTTTTTTTTCATCATATCATATGAAGTAGTGGTGATAACATATAAAGTTACTTACTTTTGCCATTCGGGGCGAATCACTGGGCGTTGGTGAGGAAGCAGAACCTGTGGGAGGCTCGCGGGACCTCGCAAGTAGACACTCGAAGAGGAGTCGGAGAAAGCGGAACCCATGCCTGCCGCCTCCCCATCCTCCTCCTCCTTGTCCATCTGTCGAACCAGCTCCTCGTCCGACTCGTCCACGGGCGCCACCACCTCCTCCAGCTCCTCCTCACGCAGCGTGGGAGGAGACGACACCAGGCGCAGAATATCCCATACGCCAGGAAGTCATGCAGGGAGTAGTGGTACCAAATGTGTATTTTGAAGGTTGTCTTTGTAGCTCGATTGTATGTCCATACCCCTTTGTCCCAAGCATGGACCAATTCATCAAACACGGGCTCTATGAACACACCCATATTACTCCCTGGGTGTCCAGGAATTATCAACGACAAGAATACATTATGTCATTGAAAGGAGACACCGGGGGGGAGATTAAGGGGGATAACGAAGACGAGCCAACATGTGTATGGGGCAGCCATCATTCCATAAGGATTGAA